GTCCGCCACAGCCAGAGAGAGCAGGAGGAAGTTAGTTGGTGTGTGCAGCTGCTTGAAGTGAGAGATAGAAATGATCACCATCAGGTTTCCACACACTGTCAGCACCACCACTGATATAAAGAAAACATATAAGATTACATAAACAACGGTGGATCGGGTTTCTTTCGGGCAAGATGTATTGTCAGATGGAAAACAGTACTGCACTATTTGATGTCCTCTCACTTCTTTTAATTCCATTATACAAGAAATGAAATTATCGAAAAATGGTTTTGAAATTGCAAAAAGAAACTCAGAATTCCACTCTGTACCCTTAAAAGTACCATATTATCCCAACTTAAAATGGCTGTAACTTTAAGGATTCGAGTAATATACAGTAAATCTTGTCTCTGCTTCTCCTTGGTTTTTAAAGAGATTTTAGTAACTCCTCCTGCTTCTGTGCTTGTGTGTGGGTATGAGTATGTTTGTTTTTGATTAAATGAGAAGGTGTGAAGAGTCTAGAGATCTCATTAGAGCTAACCTGTTTTGTTACTTGACTCGTATCCTGAACTATAGGTATAGTTGTAACATCTTCATTAAAATCCCAAAAAAAGTTAATGCAACAAAAGAACTATATTAATAAATTTGAATACCACTGAAATCATATAGCTTGATCTGAATGAATATAAAACATGAATATATATAGTAAACTGGGATGTTTGAGTAATCAAATAAATATGGTTAAAAATATAAATATAAAGTCAGGTCCTGTCACCAGCTTACCTTGTGAATAAATAATAAAAGTAAACAATTCCACACCTATAATTGCAAGGGAATATAGACCAGTAACATTTATAGGTAGATTATTTTCTGTGTCCCCATCAATGTGATGTAGTATTTTAATAAATGGGGAAGCAAATTAAGAGAAAATCAATCACAAATAATGTATTTAGATATGTTTACAAGTCACATTCATCCAAGTTAACCTAAGACCTGACATACAGTATGTAAATTCCACTTTATATAAAAAATCTTTGTCAAACACCCAGGCCTCACCCTCTGTGGGCTGGTTTGTACATGATCGCTGACTTTCATATAGCTCACTTTACAATCACTTTCTCTCTCTTTTGAAACTACTTCATCTTTTTGTTCTCTCACACAAACACCACAACCTCACTATGTTTTTCATTTTAAAAATACCATACTCAACCTGCAGCAGGTGGTGTTTCACTCTAACTTCTGGTGAGATATTTCATCTCTTCTATGGAATCAACACATACTGTATTGTAACGCATACGGCCGACAATGGAGGTTGTGCGAGCCGGTTTACCAGCGCGGTGACGTTACCGCCCTTCCCTGTGAATAGCAGGGACCGCAGCCACAGGACTGAGGGGAGTTTTCCCTTTAGCTCAGCTGGTTGGGTCCCTGTTGAGTGATGCTGGAGGCCGGGGTTTGAGTCCCCAGCGGTGGGGGGCCGACCTGAGGCAGCAGCGGCGAGGGCGCATACCCACGTGAACCCGCTAGCGCTACGGTATATTGCAAACCCTGTCATAGAAGCTGGACAGGCCATTTAAGTGGCGTAATCAATGTGCTGTAGAATGGTATGGTCTCTTTAAACATATTTGCATCACAGCGTGTACTGCAGTTGTAAAATGTCGCCCACATGAATCAAATATGTGAACAGGGAGTGCAATTCACAACGTGCCATATGTGTTGAGAGGGACTCTGTAAACAAGTCAATGAAATGCAGTATGATACTTTTCCTGCTGAATCTGCAGTATTTTATAGAACTAGTCTGAACTGGAATGAAAGAATGCAGGACACAGGGGCTACTATGTAATCTATACTGTGTAATATGGGAATAAGTGCTACGAAACTACCACAAGTAACCAATTGTGTTAAAAAGAAGTTCTCTTTGGCAAATAGGGAAGGGGAAGAAGAGTGTGATCTTGGAATGCTGCCAATCTGATCAGCACAGGGAAGTGTGAGAGATAACAGAAAAATATTTAAGGACTGTTCTAATTTAATCTCTTCCGCACTGATGCTCATGAAATAAAAACTTCTTTTAACTTCTGAGACAGACTCCTGACTGTCTTTTGAGAGGAAGTGGGACAATTTCACCAATACATGCAAATCATATGAAGTCATTTCTTCAAATATCCAGAAACAGTAGCATACAAGTCAATGAAATCCAATATGATCAGTATACTATATAAATATACTGTACATACAGTAAATAGAGTATGACACTGTATGATTTTAAAGCCATTAGTATAGTATGTGTATACTGTTGCTAGCTTTGATCAAACCACTATAGAAAACAATGGAAAAAAAACAAAGCATTCATTTCTACCTTTTCCCAGTAATCTGTCACAAATCCACATGTGGAATACGTTAGTTGTCATTATTAGACTAATAGTTACTTTCCCAAATTTATTAAGTTTTTAATTTATTTACTACGTTTTTATAATATGAACCCATGTACTGTATGCCACAGTAAAACTGCAATGTTGCCTGTGCATTAATGTGCATAAAAAGCTCAACTGTTTTTTTTCTGAAAATACAGTTAGGTAACAGATATTTTAAGTAATTTTTGTGAAAATAAATGGAGTTTTTAATGAAAGTTCGGGAGGAATGAAGGCAGCCGCGCTCATTCGACACAGCTGCTGCAATTCTCACTAATCCCGACGTAAGCAACCGGTCTCCATAAATATCAAACGTCACCCTCTCCTCTTCCTCGTTCGTTTTCTGCATCCCTCCTCCACCCCCTCTCCACCTTTGCAGCTACCCCATTGGTCGCATGGGGGTCCTATCCTCCCCGTCCAACGGCCGGGAGGTTGGCCCTCAGCCAAGCGGGTTACGCCAAATCTCCACATCACAATAAACGATTCTAATTTCTCCCAAGCTTTCAGCTGCTGTCATTCCTCGTGAAATCACAAGTAGTGGTCTTTTTTATATACATTCAGCTCAGAAGGCCACAATTCTTCCACATTACATGTTAAATCACTGTGCCACCTGGCTGCTTTTAAAAGTAGTGCAGTCTTGCAACAGATTATTTGAAAAATAAAAAGCTGTTGGGTGGCATCTTTCAAGATACTGTCTTATGTTCTTTGCCGCAACAATTAAATGGTTACAACCCAATAAATCTAAGTGGCTGCATCTGTATGTTTCAACAATGCTTTATACACAGTATTCGATTCATATAACAAACAATGTTATCTGTAGTGTTAATAAATGAGACATTCATGGGTTTTTTGTTTCAATTAGTGGAATTTCATTTAATGGAAATAATAATAAAAATCAATTTAATGCATTTGATGGTTTTGATTATGGACGTATTTATAATTTATATATATTTTTTGTTTGGAAATGTTTTATGAATCATTATACTTATTTAAGCTATCGGAAAAGTGGTTTCAGAAAAGTGAAATAGTAAAGAGGTATCTGAGTATTTGTAGATAAGATTATCCAGTAGATTAGTTACTGAGTACAACATCAAAGCTGGCTGTGTGTGTTCTTTGAAATTACTTATGGGGTATTGCTGATAATAATATTATTTATTCATCAAAACATATTTGATTACAATTTAAAACATTTTAATTCTCTTTTAACATTGTAATCCCCACTTTATACAATTTTTGTAAACATTGTTTGATCATCTTCCATTTCATTTAATTGTTTTGTTAATTTTTTGCCTTCTGTTAATTTTCATCTTCACAATCTGTTACAAAACATCTTCTGTAAATGACCACTCATATATTATCAGTTAATTGTCCGAAAGGAAAAGAAAAACAACACAATGTTTCGACTGTGGAACCTTCCCTCAAGTGTGAAGAGATGTTGTGTTTCTTTTCTTTCCCTTTCATCATGGACATCATGGAATAAAACTTTACCTCTTTGTTTGCAGCCACCTACTCGATCATTGTCATATTATTGCAGCTAATTTTTAATTCAAACTGTTGTGTAGAACATTATGGTAGTTTTGTCAAAAGATAATAATAACAACAACAATAACAATAATAAAAAAATCATCTGCATTTTTAATTGAAAAAATAACCATCAGTGTTCGAATAAAGAAGCCCCACATGTAACTATCTGTTTTAATTAATGATAGTATTAATTTATCTGTTGAAAAGAAAAAAAATTTGTACAGTAATCTGTTCAAAGTTGATAAAGCTGTTAGGGTGTTCATAAATCAATAGAAAATACTAAAACTAGTAAGTTTACTAACCAGGTTATAACAATATCTACATCATCTAAATGCGTCTCTTTAGCTTCTCTTTATACAATATGTCAAAAGACTCACAATTAAATGGTTACACAGTAAATTTAAAATATAAGAATTGCCAGGATAATCTAAAGCATTGATCTCTGAGCTGAGAGGCTTATTACTTTTCTGTGTTCTACTTATTGATACAGATGCAGTGTTTTTGTGTGTATTCTGAGTGATTTGAAAACCTCTTTGAAAAGCATCATTCTTTGTGGTGTTAATAAAAACTTGGTTCATATGTGCAAACTTTAAATGTTTATTGAAAGCATAATGAAAATCATTTTCGGACTTTTGTCGAAGGCATATTTTCTTGGCTTGATATTTTTTACAATATTACAGATGTGAAATTTTCATTATTATTTTCTTACTTGATTTTTTATTCAGTATAAATCTGTATTCTAGAAGAGTTCGGTCTAAATATTTTACATGTTGCAATGATTTTTAGTGCCTTTCGAAACCATGGAAAAAAGAAAGCATATATAAATGGATTAAAAGTGGAATTAAAATAAGCTAGCCATATGAAACTATCATACACAACAGCTGGAGTATCAAAATTAACATACGGGTCAACTGTCTTATCAGTGATGAAAGGGAGCCAACAAAACAAAAAACAACCCACAACTATTCCCAATGTTTTTACAGCTTTGCGGTCATTTCCTCCTTTGAAATGTATTTTATTGTGCTCAAGATATGTGGTCCTGGCTTCCATACTAATATGGTTTGCTTGCTTTCTTGCAATAGTAAAAATCCTAGCATACATTAGAAGTGTTATAAGGCATGCCACATAAAATGTCAGGGAATCCATAAAATTAAATATTTCATTGAACAACAATATGCAGCTGCCCTCACATCCAACCTTGCTGCCTGTATTTTCAGTTTCTTTGTCCTGGTAATGGAAGGAAATAAAAGCAATAGAACAGATTGTTGGAAAGACCCAGCCGACCACTATGAATCGGAAAGTCACCTGAGTGGTCATTTTACTAGTGTAGTGAAGAGGGTGACAGACTGCATAATAACGATAGAAAGCTATAAAGAAAACATGAAAAACTGAAGCTAAACACAACAGAAGATCTATAGACGTATGCAATTTACAGAAGAAAGAGCCCATATACCAACAGGATTCAACCGTCCTGATCATGCTGAAGGGAAGCACAAATAAACCAAGCAGGAAGTCTGCAGTTGCAAGTGACAAAATAAGCAGATTACTTGGCAAGTGGAGTTGTCTGAAGTGAGAAATGGAAATGATCACAACCAGATTACCAAAGATTGTTATAAGTACAGTCAGTAAAAAAACACAGTACAAAATCACTTTAATTGCCGGAGATCTGACAACTTTTATACAAGACAATGTCATATTTTCAAAGCAGTATTCCAACAAATTAATTTCCAGGTCTGTTGATTTCATCTTGATGGCTGTTAGAATAATGTAATAATGTAAGCAATATTAATAAGAAAAGTAGTAGTAAACACAACAATTAAAAACAGAAACATTGTGAAGTGAAGCACAGCTTTGGCAGATAAAAATACTAATACAACAATACATTCTCTCAGATACATACTGTACAATAAATCTGGTATAACACATGGCTATTGTTGTAGGGCATCATAAAAGTCTTTTCAGTTCTTTATAAAATACTTAATATGAAAAAAAGATTCCGGGCGAACATCAGAAAAATTACTTTAATTTCATGACTGAATTCTTTATATATATATTTTTCAATTATAGCTCAGTTACTGATCAGACATTGAACGTAGTTTTACTGTTACTTGTATTTAATTAAATATAACCAAGCTAATTTGTGAAAAAAGATGCCTATATATGCAATACAGTATAATATTGTGTCACATTGTTTTATTAAGAAACAAAAATACTTTCATATTCCATTAAATCTTAACATTTTGCTTGTTAGTTGTGCTTCATTCACCTCTCTTATTAAACAGTAGTATGTTTACTTTTATATAATATTGCAGTTACCTTAAAACATGTTCTTCCTAAACAGACTTCACAGTTGTCTTCTTTCTTTCCTTATTCATACTGCCTGGCGACTAAGCTTATATACAGTAGTTTCCAACAAACTGAAATTGTGCCTGTGTCTGTTGTATTATTATCCACAAGGAATAATATAACTAGAAGACTTTAACTAGACCCCAGAGGTTCCATTTCCATGATCATCAGAAAATTTGTCACCTTCAATATGATTCTGTTTTTGTTAATGTAAACAAGCAGCAAAGATAAACAATTTAACTTTTTGAAGTAAGTTTTACATTTGGTAATTTGACAAATATTAGTAAATTCACAGTTCTTTTAATCTAGGAAAATGATTTGCTTTGATACTTTTATATATTATTTCACTTATATCAGGAAAATTTTAGAATTAATTCCAATGAAGAGGTAATGCATTTTTTGAAAACACTAAACAAATAAAAGATTAAACAAAAACAACAAAATAAACGGCATTTATAACCACTGTGCCAACAAGCACCTCTGGTTACCCAATATATTCTACAGTTCTACTGGATCACCACAGGGCGGTCTTGTCTCCCCTATTTTACATTATGTACACTTATGATAGTAAGAATAAACACACAGACAGGTATCTTAAGATTGCTGTTGACCTCACCCTGGCCATCTTATTAAAGGATCCAGAAAATCAACATGGACCTTTTCTAAATGGTGTAAAGGCATTACATTTTAACACATCAAAATATTGATTTAAGGAAAAATGCAACCTCACACCTTCCTACTGTGATTAATGTACTATAGAGGTAGTAAAAATAATTCTGTACTTTTGCTTCATATTCATTTTTTGACATAAAATACAAATGCCCTTAGTATACAGCAAAAATGACAAGTTTCACTTCGATTACCCAAAACTTTTATATTCGCAGCAATTACAATCTTCTTGGTTATGTCTCTATCAGCTTTCCACATCTGTGTTTGAGAAAGTTTTACCCGTTCTTCCTTGCAGATTTGCTTAATATTTTGTCGAGTTGGAGGGGGAGTGTCAAAGAGCCACAATCTTCAAATCTTCAAACCCCAGATTCATAATGATATTCAAGTCTGAACTTTGTCTGGGCCACTCAAGCACATTACATTGACCTTCTTGAGCTGAATCCACTATGGCAGGTACTCCTCAAGTATTTCCCTGTAGCTGACTCCATTCATTGTTCAATCCATGCTGACAAGTTCCCCAGTCCCTGCCACTGAAAAGCATCCCCATGAGATTATGCATGCTTCATGGTAGGGATGATGTTACATGAGTGATGAGTTGTGTTCGACTTGCACTAGGCATAGTGCTTTGAATTCATGATCATGGGTCTTTTGCTGATCGAAGCAGGTTCTCATTCATTGTTCCCTCTGAAAAGTACCTGAGTGCCTGGTACTGAAAATATGATGTTGTCAAGACCATGCATAATGATAGGAATGGTGTAACACAGATGATAAACTGTCAGATAGATAGTGTTATATTAGATGTTACAGAAATATGCCTTGCTTCATGGGAATTCTCAAAAACAAGGAATATCATGGAGTGTCTATAAACGAATTAAAACAACTGAAATTGTTAATATTGAGATTTCTTCTTGTACTGTTGAGGTATGCACTGCTGAAACACTTAAATAATACTTTAAAGACTGCTTTTAACTTTTATGAAGCGTCATTATTAACACATAAAACGTTGAATGTCTGAATATTTTCCCTTTAAATCACTAGTGATCTAATGGATGATATACAGATCCAGCCATTCAAAAGCGCACGGAGTACGCTGCGGTCATACCGCAGTTATGATAATAGTATCTGGAATCACCTGGTCAAACCTCCAGGTGGAGCTAATAAAGCTTACTGTCTCATGTACAGCATTAGAGCTGTGACCAGAAAATGCCTGGTTTCAAATCCTGATCACTGCTGAGATTCTCAAAACTTACTTTGTATTATTGGAAACGGATAGGTAATCGGATCAACGAAATGCTGTGGTGTTACTTTTTGTCAATGAAAAAAAAAGTATTTTCATTTACAAAGATAGTTACAAAGAAAGTGGACCATGGTAATACTTTGAGTTTACAGCTTGTTCAAGGTCATTCGTTATTAATACTATTAGTAATATCTTCCGTAAAGACTTTGATGCATAAAATATTTCTGCATAATTAAGATATTTATGATAAAGGTGGTAGGTTGTGCACTTTTTTCAACAGAGCAATCTTGCTTCTATAAAATATACCAACTTTTTAATGTTTAGTGATTTACATGCTGTAATACACAGTTTAAAATTATTAAAAGTTTAAAGAGTATACAACTTAAATTCTTAATTGGAAAAAGATTGTCCTTCAGCAGTGACCAGGATTTGAAGGAAGGTATTTCTGGCGAAAGCTCAAATGTTGTACATGAGAGGTAAAGCTTTATTAGTTCTACCTGGTGGTGATTCCAGATACTATTTTCATAACTGAGGTATTATATGGTATAACGCGATATGATGTGATGTGACACGGCCACCGTGTTTTACTACAGCGTACCTTGCTCGTTTTGAATGGCTGCATCTGTATATCTATGTTTTTCAAAAAGCCGGTTGTAGATGACCAGCTTCAGTCCCAAAACAAATTAGACACATGAGGTGCATGGTATTTTAACTACAATATTAACTTTAGAGTAACTCGTAAAACTACTAAACAATCTAAAAGCAGGCATACAAGATACTTAGAACTGTTAAAAGCAACAAGTGAAAATTAGTTCTTTCAGCTTTTCTTTAGATAAAGACAAAGTTCTCATATGAGAGACCTTTGCAAATTAGCTGTCATTTGAAAGGGAATTTGCCGGCTCTGTAGACAGTGATCAGATTATTACCATATTCAATTCCAAACCTGCATCTGGTCTAGAAGGCCAAAACCTCATAACAGAGGTAGGCACTGATTGTTTTTCTGTGTCTGTCCACCGTGGCAGTGTAGCGTTCGGCAGCCTAGGTAATTGTTCCTTAACCTCTGTGTGTGTGTGAGAGAGAGACAGTATGTATATACATATAAGGTTCCGCTATTTCCACTGTTTGATTTTACCGCTTGAGAATTGGATTGTAAATTGGAGGAGGTTCCCTATGCTGGCAGGAACCCGGGCCACCCACTTTTGTACAGGCCCACACAAAGAAGGCCATAAACGATATTAATTTTGGAACATAAACATACAGTATATGGCTGGTCTCTGTACTTTAAAGAAAACATACACGAAACATGGTTTCATTATAACCAGAATCGGTCTTGAGATATTTTTAACTTGATTTA